GAAAGAGAGACCTGCAAGGAATTCAAGTTTTTCCATGGGATAGACTGAGTCATTAGTTCCCAGAGGATGACACCAAAACTGAACACATCAGACCTGTTTTAGAAAAATGAAAGAAAAATCATTACTTCAAAAGCATCAGACTGCATTACCAATTTAATATGATCTGTAGGCACTACTTGCAAGTACAGAATAACTTCCAAAGTCGTTATATTTTGTAACTGGACAAGGTAGGACAATGATTGAAAAGACTCAAAGGTAGTTATTATTATATAGATTTTTGTTTGTTTGTTTCATTTATATAGAAGTTTCTCATCAAAGATTGCAACATAGAAGGACATTTAAAGCTGATTGATCGATTCCTCATGACCATTAGGACAAGTTAGCAAATAGTTAAACAAAAGGACCATTTGGAAACTTTCACAAAGTTTTCAGAATATCCTCCATATTTAAAAAAGTCCAGACTGAACGCAATCTCTGATAAGTCACAGTTCCAAGGAATTACTTCTCATTTGAAGGTTCATTTCTGAGGACTTCAGGGGACATCCACTGAGGCTGCATTTTGACAACAAATATACTTGTTAGCAGGAGATAGAAATAAAACTTCATTTACTAAAAACAAAATAAAGATTTTACTGTTACTAGCTGTTCAGGTCAGATGTTTTGTAAGTAAAAAGTGAAAAAGTGAGTGCTGTCATACGGTGCCTCTCCCAGATTTTGTAGTCAATAAAGTTGCATCCTTTAACCTAGACAGGCCAAAGTCTCCGACCTGAGAAAAAAATCAAAACTCATTATACTGAACCTTCCCGGGACAACTGAATGCATTTTCAAGCAATCGATCACCTTTACAGTCCAGTTTTTATCTACAAGAAGGTTGGAAGACTTCAGGTCTCTATGCACTATTGGTGGATTTCTGTGATGAAGATAATTCATTCCTCTAGCCTGCAATAAACAACAATGTGATTTATAACATTGCAACAATGGATGAAGGTTCGGCAAGCCAGCAGCTTGCTCTTAACATATGTATGTGTGGAGAGAGGACACGCACAACATCAAGAGCCATCCTTAGACGCCTTCTGATGTCTAATGTCTGATTGTTACTGTGCAGGTTTTTAAAAAGGCTTCCCCTACAACGCAAAATAAAATCATTTTAAGATGGTTCCCTATAATTTCCATTCAAAAAGAAAAATAAATGTGGAAATTGTGGGTGAGAGATCATATTCACTAATACACAGATCTATGTTATCTAATGGCACAAAAAATACAATAGGCGCATGATGCATTATATTTTATGTGTTCTAAATTAAGTGCAACTCCTATAACTGTTAATATAACAAGTTCTAAGATGAAGATGTTGAAAATCTTACCTAGGTAATAACTCTGTCACAATGGCAAGCCTTTCCTGTGAATATACTGCTCCCATGAAAAGCAATACATTAGGGTGTCTCAATCTCTTCATTATATCAATCTGAAGAATACACACAAAAGATTCAGTGATCAGCTGCTTTCTATCTAAAGCAAATAATAATAAGATACCTCTTTTCTGTAGTCTTGTAAAGTATTTTCTGTGTATCCGTTCCCAAAATAAACTTTGACTGCTACATCCTGAAGAAGAAAATAAGTTTTAGAGCAGATGGCTAGTCGATACTATTAATACAATAAAAGAATATGTTAAATTTATACCGATCCATTCCAAATTCCATGATAAACAGCAGCATAAGAACCTGCAAGACCGAGTAAAACATAAAGAATTCAACAATCACTTGTTGAAATAAAATTAAAATTCAGAAATATTTCAAGTTCTACGATAAAAAAAATGCAGGTAGATCAACCTAATTATTTTAAAAGACATCCATTAGAACTTTTTTGTCCTACCTATCTTGAGACAAATATTTTCCTCTAGTTGTTTATCATAGAGGAATTATAAAATGCAGAACTGAATTAATTACCTTGTCCAATCTCCTCCCTTAATTGAAGGTCTTCCCAATGGATTTCACACTCCAAAACAGAGTTTGACTCGTTATCCCCTTTGCTTGATGAACTTTCATGGCTGCCGTTACTCTCCCTCGAACTTGGCAATTGCGACCCTTCTTGCTGCTTTTGCACTTCATCTCCTGCCACCATATTTGTAGCCTCTGGCTCCAATTTCTTCTGATCAAATTGACAGCGTAATCTTAACAATGGATCTTGGGGAATGGGAGAACCAAAACATTCACACCACTCCCCTGACAAAGTTTTACCAGAACTATCTTTGAAAACATTGGATGCTCTGTATGAGCAAACTTTTGTATCTGCTCTCTTCATTGCAAATAAAGAATTACATTTATGAAGATTTTCTTCTTTATCTGCTCCATTAGCAACATCCTGATATGGTGTGAATGACACTAAACCTCCAGATGAATCATTTTCATTATTCACTCTATTGCTTCCTGAATTATCAGCTGTACAATTATTCTTGATACTTCCATTATCCTTCTCACATTTTGCACGTGCCCCAATTTGAAGCTTGGCAAGGACTCTGGCTGCCTGAAGCATTTAACCATACAGATGATCATATATCTTAACTGGATCAAAAGTAACACAGAAGGTTCACAAACACACAAATTTTTAAACAAATATTATGTACTGCATGTCAAACCAATGCATAATTGAAATCACTAAGGTTGACCTGGTAGTGGAAAGTTGAGATAGTATACATTAAGTCTTAAGTTCAAATCATATTACTGTCAATGTAATTCCGATGGATTAAAACAAAAAAAAACAATGCATAATTTACAAATTTATATTGACCTACAGTATATGCTCAGTTTCTGCTAGTGGATTGCATTAGTTTGGTATCTAAGCTTCAGAAGAGCCCCAGAAAGGTTTAGCCTCCCAACTTATGATTTCAGATGAAATATCACTTTATTAATACAATTACAAACCAAAATAAATACAGACGCGTGTCTGACTAAATTTAAGTATTCCCAGTATTGATTTGAAGCACGAACAAGGCAATTAGAGTAAATAGGAGATTTATTTACAATTTTAGAAGGTTGACCAAATTCAGTAGTAGACTCATCCTTCTCTGAGGCCTCTGTGAAAGTTGTGTTTTCTTTATGGTGATGTCTGGAATGAGGTTTTGTTTCCTGAAATTCAAAATTAGGGGGAAAAAACTTAAAATGTTCTCATATTGAAATGCCTACTCAGATAAATCTTCAAGCCGAACAGAGACATACATGTATGTTACGCTTCTCTAGTTTTTCATCTTCTACATCTGTTGAAGTATTCCTGGAAACTGTGTTATCAGTATGCGCTGGGAGAAACTTTGATGCCTGCTAAATGTAAAAAATCGGGTTCTATAATTTAATTTAAGCAAATGATTAAATGAAACCCAAATAAACGAGAGCAAAAACGTAAAAAGAAATTTTGAACAACAGTAGTAATGACAACCAGATTGGAAACACATGAAGCAATCTGTGGCATTGGTGCAATCGTTGGTCGTGGAGGCCACTGAATCCTTTTGAAGTTTAACCTCTGTACTCCAGGTAGGCCATTGTTACCAGATTGGTAAGTCCTTTGATTTTCTGAATTTCTAGAGTTTAAAATAGCTGAATCACTTGAAACAGTTATAACACCAACAAGCTCACCATCCTCATAAAGAGGAGTTTTTGTTACCATTGCCATAAAGACTTCACCAGATCTCTTCTTGAAAGGAAACTGCCCAGACCATGGAACTCCCGTGACCAACCTTTCCAGAATTTTTTGTAGAGATGCATAATTTTCTTCAGCAATTAAAACTTTAGCTACTCTTTGGCCAATTATTTCATAGTCCTTCCACCCATACAAAGTTTCCGCTGATTGATTCCTGAAATGCAAAATTTTAGGTTTGGCTCAAAAGCAACATGAAAAACAAAAACAATAACTTGCAGAGGTAAATTTCGAAAATTGAACAAACAAATAAATGGAATATTATTAACTGAGATTAGACTTGATTGGACTTGATTGCCAGTGAATTAGAAAGTGCAGGGCACATACTAGCCTTATGACTATTTAATAGCCAAATTTCTTCCCTCTCCTACCAGCTCAAAGTTTATTTACTGGATGCTTGATGCCAAAGTTTCAGATAGTCTTGTGACTAGCAGGCTTTTGCATGAGGAGGATTTAGAGATTTTTATACTAGCTCTCTCTAACCATTAATCTCTCTAGATTGATTATTTTTTACACTATAGGTTGTCCATGATTTTAATTGCACAACGGATTGGATGTGTTCTGACAAATAAGCTCCTATCAATTCTGCGCTGATTTTCATTTTCCACCCAAATACATAAGATCTATGCTTACGGACATAACTTCAAGGAACAGGGTGTTAGAGTGATCCACTCTTGTTAAGTAAAGCATGCCTACCACTAACAAGTGAAAAAAATGCAACACAGTGTCAGCGTGGAATTGTGGACTCCCAATAGAATGCCCAATTTCAACAAAGAACCAAAAAGTGGAACACTGTGTCCTTTTTAATAAGGAAGACTTACACACAGGGTCTTCCAATTCCCAAGGCTTCTTTCTAGCCCCACCATTCTCAGCTTGAAATGTTCAAATATATCCTGTAAAATGATTCAGTACAGTAATCCGCATGAGCCTCTCTTAATTTCTATGTTGCGGAATTGGGAATACTTGCTTCACAATCATTCAAAACACGTTTAACCAAATAAACATATTCAATTAACACTCTAAACCACATCGTGCGCAGGTCTAAATCCAATCAAACTCGAAACTAGTTCTAAGATAACACATCCTATTCATTCCCCTATCCCTCTCTACAGCGTTAAACTGTTTCATCGAAAATTAAAGCACCGTGAACATTCTCAGACTCAGAGAAAGAAAAAAACGAATCAAAGAAAAAATGAAGCATCTACGATGCACACAGTTCTATACCAGTATATGATCTCGGCGGAGGGAACTCTGAGGACGTGAACGGCGTGTCCCATGCATTTCAACACGGTTGCATACGGACTTCCGGAGAAGCAGAAACCGGAGAGAAAACCAACGGTTGAATCTGCAACGGCCTGGCTATCGTCCCCGACTGTGAGGTTGTTGCTCACCTGCACCAGCTCATCGAACTCCTCCCTGAGCTTGGCCTGCTTCTCCTCCAAACTCCGGCACCGATCCGCGAGAGAGCGGAGCGCGTGAACTTGTCTCTCGCCGCCACTCATCGAAGTCGCCGGAGCCGGTGCGTTTGTCGTGAGGTGGTGTGCAATGCGCATAGGAGTTAGTTTATTCCCCGGTTCCTCACCGCACACACCATTTGTTTATTATTTTATTTATTGCCTTGTTTTAATATTCACTAATCACTACTGCCTGTGTCCAATAAGAGGCTTGGGCCTAAAGGCTGTTCGCCGCGTGTCGGTGGCCGGCAGCGGTAGCTATCCGCTGCGCTCAGACCTATTCGATTGCCGGAAAGTTCAAAATGCTACTATTGCTCCTCTTCCATATGGGCTCACGTCCTAGACCTTATAAAATTTTATATTCTTAACTAGACATAAATCATATAAAAATTCTTTACACTCCAAGAATATATTATTATATGGTAGCGGTTGATCCAACTGAAGGATATAACAATTTTGAACATATTAAATAAATGCAAGTTGTGGAGAAAATTGATATGTACGTAGAGAAAAAAGATTACGATAAAAGTGGAAGGCAAGTGGGGAGGAGTTAGGTTGCTTACACTCAACTAAATAGTAAATTTTCAATTATTTTATTCGAGTCTTTTACAACTTCCGCACTGGGCAGGAGGAGAAAGAGAGAGTGCAACCAAATCCATTTCTGTGGCTACGAAAGGTCAACTCAACTACTTGAAATGAGGTGTTCGTTTTTGTTGAAAAACGGAGAGGTGGAGCAGGGAAAGGCTTCAGATCAGCTACTGCTTTTGCCTATGCCTTATCAAGTACGAACTAGGATTCTACGAACCCAAAATCTTTATATAAATACAAAATAAAGTGTTGTGAATTAGGCTTTAAAAAATATTAACTAATAAATATCAAATACATTTTTATTATTTTAAAATAATGAATACTTGTTTTTGTATTATTATTAATTTTTTTGAAGGTATTATTATTAATTTATTACTACTACTATTATCATTAGCTAATATTTTTAAAACATTTATTAACATTTATCTGATACTGTTGACTGCCAACGTTAATAAAATATAAAATAATTAGGATTTGAACTTGAAGTACCCACCTATAAAGGCTCATAATTAAGCTGGCCCAATCGGACTTCCATTAGTTAAAAGAAAAATCGTATTTTCCATCAACTTGAAAGTTGAAATTTTTTACTGGAATAATATTTTTTTTTAAAAAAATTACAAGAATGATCACTGTGCAGGATTATTTACCAAGATAGAACCATTTACTGTTCAAGCTCAGAATTCGGTTCTCCGGGAACCGAATTTTGAGCATCAAAATGTAATTTTTTTTGCTTTTTCAACTCAGAATTCGGCCCGTTTCACATTCAGAATTTGCACTTTGTTTCTTTAAGCAGAACGGCCCGTTCTGCTTTTGGAACGGGCCGTTCCGCTTCCCACATCAGCCCACATTTACCCCAGACACGAAAAAAAATAAAAAAATAAAACCAACTCAGAATTCGGTTCCCCGGGAACCGAATTCTGAGTTGAAAAAGTAAAAAAAATTACATTTTGATGCTCAGAATTCGGTTCCCCAGGAACCGAATTCTGAGCTTGAATAATAAATGGTTCTATCTCGATAAATAATCCTGCACAGTGATCATTCTTGTAATTTTTTTTAAAAAAATATTATTCCAGTAAAAAATTCGCAAGTTGAAGTTGACGTCTTGACTCTAGCACCTTTTAGCATTTAAATTTGGAAAAATTGGTATGTAGTTATTCTAATTATTTTGGTTTTTTTTTTGTTTTTAATATTGTATTTCTTTTCTTTTTTTTTTTTTGGTTAGACTCGTTGATCATTTATCAATTATAATAATAAAATACTTTCCCAATTAATACAAAAAAAAAAAAACATTTTTTTAACAATAAGAAATCATCACGATGGAATTAAATTTAAATAGAAACTGAAGCAAAAAGAAAGCTAAGTTATTCCGTTTGTGTCAGCTACGATCCGTGTGAATTGACACCTATTCCGTGTGAGATACATGGGGCAAGTTAGATATCCATATATACAGGCATATAGTATAATGAGATTGTCAAACTTGTATTTATGACTAAATGAATGAAAATTAATTATTTAAATCTATTATATTGTCAAACATACAATTATATGACCTAACACGAAAGGGATGTCACATTGTTTGGAATTTTGTTTTGATTTTCATGAAAGAGAACAACACTATCCACAAGAAATAAGATATCAAAATGTACTTACAATTATAAGACCTAACACGAAAGAGATGTCATTGTTTGGAATTTTGTTTTGATTTTCATCTGAAAGATAATAACACTGCCCACAAGAAATAAGGTGTCAAAATGAGATCAAATTTTTATACATAAAATTTTAGATGAGTTAGATTTCGAAAACTCACCAAAATTAAACAGACCTCAAGACTGTGAATATTTATAAATCAATATTAACAAAGTTATTACACCGATAGTAAAAATCAAATACACATCTTTTTGGAGATATGGATTTATTTCTTGTCAATTAAATCAATCTTTGTTAGATAAAATGGGATGAATTTGATAAAAGTGATCTAAATAATATAATTTTTTATTCATAAATAATATGATTTACAATATATGTTAGTTTTTTGAGTGTCATGAATCTTATCGAGTTTGGATGGAATGTTTTAACTGGTTAGGTGTTAGTTATGCATAATAATTGTGCAATGCACTTGGAACAATTCTTTGGTCTTTCTTTTTGTAACTCTCAGAAAAAGGATTGTTGGATATCTATTTGGTTAGCCATCATATGGACAGTGTGGTTGACTAGGAATGAAGTGGTCTTTTCTTCCACTCAAATATCTGCAATGGAGATGGTAGATTTGGTTAAAATTAGAACCTGGAACTGGTTAAAGACAAGATATAAAAATTTTAGGTACGACTTTGCTTCTTGGTCCATGAATCCAGCAGCTTGCCTCACCTAGATAAATGTATTCAGGTGGTAAACGAGTTTATTAGAGAAATCTGATTTTACAATTTTTATTTCAATGTTGTGGGCTGGTTGTGATGGTCTAGCTTAGGTTCCTTGTTGTGGAACGGTAATTTTAGTTCACATGTAGTATTTTGTAATGGGTTGGAGTACCCCTTGTACTTCCTTTATTTTTAATTATTTGGCTTATAAAAAAAAGATTTTAATTTTTTTTATCATAGATTAATTAAGCTAAAGCTAAAATTAAGTAACTTAAGCTTTTAATAATTTTTATAATTATTTGGATATTTATTTATTTAGACTAATTTTTCTCATATTATGTTAAATTTGCATGGTAGAAAATCACAAACGAATTTTATTAAATTATAAATATTTTAAATGATACAAGTTGATTTGATATGTTATACATGAGAAAAAGATTATGTTAAAATATGATAGCAAATTAATATCTTAATTTAAATCTTATTATGTGAGTCATTTATATTATAAGATTATACATTAATAAAATTGATGAATAATTCATATCAATAAAAAATATATATTATAAGTATAATTATGAAGTAAAAAAATGATTGAAAAAAAAACTTACGTATGGTCTTCAAGTTAAACATACACACACAATCTTGCCAAAATACATAGTCCCATTACGGATCAACATAAATAAGGTTGCTATAGAATTGAATTTAAAATATTAGAATTGAATTTAAAAATTCGGATCAGACATCTTTTATTTTGAAACTATGAAGATATGCCCTTTGTCTAATAGTTAATTAAAAATTTATCAATAAATTATATAAATGTTTATCAATCAGCGCAATTAAGTGAAAATAATCTATATGTTCATTAAAAAAATTTAATTTAATATTATTTTAACATTACATCTATTAATATCGTTAGAGTTATATTGTCAACTTTAATATTTGTTAAAATATTATATTTTTATCATTGAAAATATGTCTCAAAAAGAGGATGATGTTTATAAGTTATAATTGACTTTGACTGCTATTAAATGATGTGGGATGTGAGATGTGAGATTCTTAAGTTATTAAAACAAGTTATATCCAATGGAAGTTAATGGACAAAAGTGATTTAGACCCTCTATTATTAATATTTCAATTGAATGTCTATTAACATTGCTAGTAGTTGAAGTTAAGACTATATAGCTAATTATAAACACTCTACTATATATTAACCCATCAAAATGTATTTTCAAGTGTAAAATCATTATTATTTAATGAATATCAAAATATACAATATCTCATATGTGGTTAACTTTAATGATGTCGACAAATTTGAAGTTAGAATAAATATGTATGATTGTTTTTCAAATATTAATAAAATATTTAAAATAAATATAAAACATGAGGAATTAAAACATTATTGGTCACTACTAAATGAGAAGTTAAAACATAATAATAAAAATAACAAATACGTAATTAATTATAAAATCAGCCACTAATAATTTTGGCAAGCCTGAACTTCGCATTGAGTTGCTCACCACCATTGTTGTTCTATTATCGAGAGTTTTATTGTTTTGCATGGTGCCATGTTATTGCATCTAATATTTCGAAACCGTAACCAAATTCAGGTTTCAAAAAATGGGTTTGGACTTGGTGGGCTATATGGTTGCTAGCTTCTACGTCACTCCCTATCACTTGAGCTGATTGCATTGAGACACATGTGAATGACTGAATAGGGACCATTATATGTATTAATTTATTATTGTTGGTTAGACTTAGATGTCATGAAATTTATTTCCTAGTAATTAAATATATGTTGAATTAGCAAACTGCAAGTCCTTGAGCAAAATGTTTTGAATGAAGCACCCTTGATAGTATAATCCAACTTAGAATGTAGAACCACCCTTCGATATCATTTTATATGTTTTCCCCTTAATTCAAGGAAGTCTCCCCTCCCCGTGCTTTGCGTGGAGCAGAACAACCAACAATCCTTATATTCTATTATTTGTATTAGTTGTTGTTACGTTGTTTTCCCCTTATTCATGGGCTCATGTCATTAATTTATGTAAATGGGGTCCACGGGTTGAACCCAAATGCATTTGATATGGATTTGACAAGAAAAATGTGGTGGTGAAAATAGATGTAAGAGAATATTTCGAGTTGTGAGGTTTTGGTAATTTTGGAAGATACAAATGATAATTTTTTTTACCTTCTTTGTATTAGTATCCTTGAATCTTTTATATGTGATATTGAGATAATCAGGACATATTGCAAAACAACCATCACTTATTTGATAAAAAAAATTGTGTAGTCACTTGACGTAGCATAATATTGAAGTGAGTCACATTTTATATCTCTAGGATTAAGAAATGGGACACACCAATAATTATTTCGTATATCGTTTTAGTCTAGGTTTGATGGGAATTGTACCTGTCTGAGGGCACACTCCTGTTCTTCCTGGTGAAAGGGGACCGAATAAGAGCTCCAACGATGTCTTCAAAAGTGGGGGGAGGTACCTGCAAAAGGTACTCCGACGCTCAAGTTAGTTCGGACACAATGCATAGCCGACGTAGATGTTAAAATTTATGTCGGATCGGTCCGACGTAAATAATTTAATTAAAATTACGA